TCAATAGATCAGTTCGGACCTCGGACCACAGATTTGGCTGTAGTGCCACGCTAGTAGTAACAGGTGCCTTACTAGTAGTAACAAGAAGCTATTAGGAACAAGTGCCACGCTAGTAGTAACAGGTGTTTGTTTATATTTGGCTATCATGCTGGGCAGGCGGGACGTGGCGATGATCTCATTCAGGTTTGCCGCATGCCAGCCTCTGGGATGATTGACCAACTGGTGGGTTCAACCTTTGACAAAAGCTCCAGCATGCTCCAGCCCTCCAAGAATCTCCAAGAAACACTTGAGGCATCAAACAAGGTCGGCATTGCCCTTGAGGAACCAAGGTTTCAAGTTTCAAGAACCTCCACATACCTCCACACCCATGGCCCATGACCATAGTTCCACGTTTCAAGTTTAACGGATTCACCTCCAAAGACCAGCTGCGATGAATCGTCTCCAGAGACTCGTGCCGCGTGCCGCATGGGCGTAGGCGGAGACTCTGGAGCCGCGGCCACAGCGTCAGGCGGAGCCACTGGTGCCAGCAGCGCCGTGGATCCCAACACCTCGGTCCTGCAGCAGGTCGGCTAAGCTACGAATGTGGCAAAGGGCATCGCTATTCGTAGCTAATTTGCTACTAGGAACAATGTTCTCTACTAGGGGCTCCTGGCCTTACTACTAGACGAACAAGAAGCTACTAATTCGTAGCAAAGGGCTGGCCGCGGCGGTTCGGGTTGGATCGTTTCTGAAGGAATCTGAAGGATCACGGGGATGCGGGTCCGGTACAGCATGGGAACTCAAGGGGTATGTAACTGTATGTATTCGAGAAAGAAGGATCGCTCACCCTGGGAAGAGACAAGCCAGGCTAGACTCTAATTAAACTAAGACTCTCACATTTAAGCATTTCACAGAATTTCCAAAGCCAAATTCGCAGCCATCCAGAGGTGCCCTGCACAAATTTCCAGATTTCCTTTGAGCCAAAGACTGAGAATGGCATGTCATGGCGCAAATGGCATGGCGTTTCACGGTCTTTTTCCTCAGTGCTCTCCACCTGCCCCGAAAGCACTCGGACGGACGGCCTCCGTCTCAGCCGGTGGCCTACACCATGCCTGACCTGCCTCGAGACTGGGTCGCGGTGCAAGATCCGCAGCTCGACAGCATCCGATCCGTGGGGTGGGTTGAGTCAAGGATGCTAGGTAGTGGCCCTGAGGCGTTGCAGCCTACCAAAAGGCGTGGCGGGCTGTGTGCCCGCAGTGTTTGTTTTTAGGAGAAACTTAGAACTTTTGAATCCTGAAGTGCCACAGGATCACAATTCCTGCGTCCGCGCAGGTAAGTTAAGAGCTTGTAATGGGTACTTGGAAGCCATCACTATTAGGTTGGAGGCCATCACTATAGTAGCGTGGCACTTGTTCCTAGTAGCTTCTTGTTACTACTAGTAA